AAAGAGCATAATCGGGTACCATTTTAAATGCTGGTTTTCTTGCTTACTCTCTCCATTCATTTATGTCTCCTTGGTGGATTGATTCTTTTACCATTATGTAGTATCCCTCTTTGTCCCTAGTAATTTCTTTTACTCTAAAGTCTACTTTACCTGATATTAATCTAGCTACTCCTGCTTTTGTTTAATTAATGTTTGTATCATCTTTTCCTGACTTTTGTCTTAAGTATTTACATACATTGAGCGCTACATCAAATGGTGTTATAATGTTTGCTTCAATCATCAAATATGATTTAAGAAACTCATAAAGAAAAAGATAGTCTAGTTTGATTTTCCCCTATTTTTACAACTATTCTGTTGTTTGCTTTTGGAAGTTCCAAGTTTCTCTTAACATTTCCTTTCTGTGTGGAGATGTTCCTTTAGTCATTCTTCAAGGGCAGGTCTGCAAGTGACAAATCTTAGTTTTCTACGTCTGAGAATGTCTTTATTTACCCTTCATTCCTAAAGGACCCTTTTGCTGGATATAGACTTTGTGGTTGACAGTTCTTTTCTTTCAGCACTTGAAAAACATTGTGGCCCTTCCTTCTAACCTCCATGGTTTTAGATGAGAAATTTGCTGTCATTTGAATTGGTGTTCTCCTAGAGGAAATGCACTGTTTCTCTCTAGCCTCTTTCAAGATTTCTTTTTCTTTAGTTTTCAAACATTTGATTATCGTCTGTCTTAGTGTGGATTTCTTTGGGTTTATCCTGTTTGGAGTTTATCCAGCTTCTTAAATATGTAGACTTATGCCTTTTGCCAAATTTGGGAAATTTCCAGCCATTATGTCTTCAAATATTTTTTTAACACTGCTTTCTCCTCTCCTTCTGGGACTCCGATGTACCGAACGTTAGATTTTTTGTTATAGTCCCACAGGTCCCTGAGGCTCTATTCATTTTTTCAGTCTATTTTCTCCCTGTTATTCAGAGTGTAATTTCTATTGATCTGTTTTCTAATTCACTGATTATTTCCTTTGTCATCTCCAATCTACCACTGAGCCCATCAGTAAGTATTTTATTTTGGTTATTGTAATTTTTTTTCAGTTCTATAATTTTCCTTTGGTTCTTTTTTATATCTTCTATTTCTTGGCTAATTTTTTTTATGTGTTTCCTGAGTGTTCATAGCTACTTCTTGAAGCTTTTTTTTTTTTTTTTTTTGATGATTGCTGCTTTAAAATTCTCATCAGATAACTCCAATAACTGACTCATCTCACTGTTAGCACCTATTGATAGTCTTTTCTCATTCAAGTTGTGATCGTCCTAGTTCTTGGTATGATGAATGATTTTTTTGATTGTATTCAGAGTACTTTGGGTATTATGTTGTGAAACTCTCGATCATATTTAATATTCTCTTTTAGCAGGTAGTCACCCTCTTAAGGTGTAATGCACAGGTCTGCATGGAGGTAAATGTTCAGCTCCCTGCTGGGCCCTACTGTCACCACCTCAGCAAGAGTGCTGACTCACACTGCCTCACTGCAGATGGGAAGGGTGGAAATTCAGCTCCCCCCTTGGCATCCTTCTGGTAAAAGCATAGTGCTGACTCACAATTCCTCATTGCCTCCAAGTGGAGATAGAAGCTCAGGTCCCCACTGGTCCCTAATGACTCTGTGCCTGGGGAAGAGCAGCATGCTGACTAGCCCCTCATCCCACTGCCTCATTCAATCTTATTGATGCTGGGTAGCTATGGTGGCTCAGCTCCCTGTTGGGGACTTTTGGCACCAGGGGCTATGGTGAAGTATTGACTAGCCCTCATCCACTGCCTTGTTAAGTCTCATTCCTGCTGGTGGAGATGAAAGTGAAGATCTCCACAGAACCCCACTGACACTATCGCAGGGGGGAATCAGAATGTTGCCTAATTCTGCCCAGCATGGAGTGGAATATTAACTTTCTGCTTACCCCGGTGGCACCATCAGGTAGGGGCACTGCCACTCCTGCTCTTGAGGGGTGGTGGTGTACAGAAACTCAAGTCCTCATTTGGCCCTATTGAAACCACTGGCTTGGGGAGCAGTTTTTCCACTGATGTTTGACTAGGGTCGAGTGAGTATTAACAGACAAAAGGGTTTTCTGTTCTGTTAGGCTACCCTTTTTCCAGTCCTTTGGCTAGGGGGACAGGCTTTGCTAGGATCTTTTTTGTCTGTGATTGTTGGTAGTTTGGGGTCGGAGACTTCTGCAGTGCCCTGTCTGGGATATATGGGAGGCAATATGGAAACCCAGGAAGCTCAGTTTGGTGTCTTTCCTCACATCCCAAGGTCCCTAGGCAGTCTGCCTTCTTCATTCCACCTTTCAGAATCTTCCTATGCCTGTTTGTTCTGTTATATTCAGGGTATTTTAATTATAAGAGAGAACACCTGGGAGAAATGGGGCTCCTCCATCTTGGCCAGATGCCTCTTCATTTATTCACCAATGATTTCCTGAGCCCCTACTATGTTCTGAGCACCCAGCTAGGAACTGGGGACTGACAACGAACAAGACAGACATCCCTGTCCTCACAAAGCTTATATCTGAGTAGAGACAAAAGATAAGTAATTACAACAAAGGGTGATGAATGCTACAATAGAACTTCTCACATTAATGACATAGAGAAGAACAACCATCAATCAGTCAATCAATCAATAAAGCCACACAATTAGAATAAGTCGAGTCTCTCCCAAGTCCTATAAATTTCATTTTCAAGTAATAGACACAATTGTTAGATATAAGAATAGGAATAATTTTAATTGCCTCTAGTGTTCCTTTGTGATTTGACAATTTTCTGAAATGCGAGCACTACTATGACAGAGTTACCCTGAGACCACAGCTGCTGACAAGTGCCTGTGAGCAGTGGGACTTTTTAGGAACCAATAAGCTACAACAAATAAACATGATGAAATCTCTCAACAGCACCAGAGTGAAGCAGAAATTAACTGCAAAGCCCTAATTCCTCAGTCTATATACACTTGGACAGCATCTGTTATTAGTAGAAAGTCAATGGTTCTTGACTAGGAGCAGAATCTCCATTTTCTGAAAGTTGTCCTTATGTGGAAGAACATTGGACAATCTGACCCAAGAAACTTTAGTTCCCTAGCTTATTTTTACTAATCCAATTTATTGATATATTTTTGGATAGCTAACCCTAGTTATGATGAATAATTCTTAAAGCTATTCATAATAAATAAAACACGATTTTAAGGCCAAATTGATCAAGAAGTCTTATACTACACTCTGTACGGTGACCATAAAACCAAACCTGTTGCCACTGAGTTGATTCTGACACATAGCAACTGTATAGGACAGAGTAGAACTGCCCCATACGGCTTCCGAGGAGCGGCTGGTAGATTCAAAACACTGACCTTTCAGTTAGCAGATGGGTACTTAACCACTGCATCATCGGGCTCCTCGCTATGACCATAATTACATTAAATATTAATCATAACAACCAGAATTTGGAATAACTGTAATCTAACTATGAAAGAAGTTAATTATATATCAGTATATGTAGTACCTCTTAGGACACATATCTTCACATCTTCAACTAAATGAATACACAACATTTTCAAGGTAATAATTCATACAATGCGAACTATGATGTCTCGTCTTTCAGTCCTTTTTCACTACATCATGGTGACCAGCAATATAGAGAATAAAATCTAATACTGTATTCTAAGGGTAAAAACTCTAATAGTAACTATTTTAGACTAGGCCATTGATTGACAGGTCTCATGGGTGACTTTCTGGTTTCATTCATTCATTCCATTTTTTTCACTCATCCATGTTCAGGGACAGTCTGGGAACTAACAAGCCATGCATGGGTCATGCTATTGGCTGGTGGACCCTCAGAGAGCATTCATGCTACCCTTTGGGCCCAAGATGTAGGCTTGTTGAGTATGTATCTCTCATATGTAGCTTACAGAAGGTTGGCCCTGTAAGACATGACTCTCCTGGTAGACACTGAGGAGTGTTAGTCCAGGGAGCTGGTATTCTGTCACCCTGACAGCACACAAGTGATGTGGTGTGCAGATTATACACGGAAACCTGTGAGAACTGGAACTCAATGGGACTGCCTTGTTTTTTGGGTCTCATGAGTTTTCCATCTCTTTTCTATGGCTCATTTTAGGAGAAAATATTCATATTTTCCTTCTCTGACAGGTTTCTGCCTTACACAGGTTCCAGCTTTTGCAGGTTTTACCGTATCATTCATTTACAATTCCTATAAGCTTCTGTGGCACCCAGCCCAAGTCCCCGGTGAGGTCGTTTTAGGCCAAACCTACCATCTAACATTCCATTTGGTCCCTCATCATAAAGTCACCATCCACAAGGTGAGCTAAATAAATATCAGGTATAATACCAAAAAGACATAATTCCATAAGGAAAAACATGTACTTTACAGTAAGAAAGGAGTGGCCCTGGGTATGTTGTAGAAAATTATTTAAATTGTGTATATTTCAGCACAGCATGTCACACGGACCTCCGCACACATGGAATTGCAACTTTTTGGAAGTGCTCATTCTATTCATTTTAACAAATCTGCTCTGGGATAAAACTGTTGAGTCGTAATGGTTTAACACAATTCATTTAAAATTCTTTTAAGGGGTAGATAACAACATGACATGTCACTAAACTTAAATCAGAAACAGATAAAAGCTATACTTCTTAGTAACAATTAAATACTCAGAAGACAATGAGGAATTTCTTTCTCAGGGCTTATTCCTCAGGAAAAGTCCTCTGATGCCCTCATTATCTGGCCCTCTTTCCCACCCAAGGAATGGATGAACACAACAGCATGGCGGAGGGTTTGGGGCCACCTTCCTATGGGACAATAAACTGCTGGCTGGTTGACCATGTGGCCACATTCCTCACCTCCAGAGCCTGGGTGACACATTCCAGGCATCGATCTAACCTAGCAGGGGCCTCAGCAAACCAATCCCCCCCGCACACCCTCACCCCGGGTTTCCTTTGAATGTGCTTATGGAGAAGACGGCTTTGTTTACCAGTTCCTCGGTCCCTGGAGAGCTTGTCCTCCTTCTCCTCCCTCTCCAACGTGCTGCTGGAGGATGAGATGCTGGAGGCAGAGCAGTTGTCCCTCTCGTTCACCTCCTCATTCTGCCTCTCTTTTTCACTGAGGGAGGCTCTTTCTTCTGGCTCTTGCTCCAGTGCTCGCTCCACCTCGCTCTCTGCTTCTGCAGGGGCTATTTCCCTGCTGGCCTCATCAGCAACATGCCCCACCTCTGCCTCAGGTTCTGCCTCTGGTTCAGGTTCAGGATCCCTGGCACTTGCTGGTGGAGACAACAATGGAGACAATACAACAGTAATTTCTTCAGAGTATGAAGTGGGATGTGAAACTGGATTTGAGGTCGATTTTTCTGGGCTAATCTGTGATTTCTAAAGGTAACCCCCCAAGATTCCCACCCCCTGGTTAGTTACTCAAACACTGATCCAGGTACTGCTGTGAAGGGATTTTGCAGATAAAAATTAAAGTCCCAAGTCAGCTGACTTTCAAATACGGAGAGTACCTGGGTGGGCCTGACCCAATCAGGTGAATGTTTTAAAAGCAGAGAGGAAGTCAGGGAGATGAAAAACATGAGAAGAATCTGAAATGCCATTGCTGCCTTTGAAGATGAAAGGGGTGACATGATGAGGAACGCAGATGGCCCCTCAAGCAGAGAATGACTCCTGGGCGACAGCTGGCAAGAAAACAGGGACTTCACTTCTGCAAGCATGGAGAACTGAATTCTGTCAACAACCTGAATAACCTCGGAAGTGGATTCTTCCCAATAGGGTCCTAGCCAGGTAAAACCTTGATTTCGGCCTCGTGTTACCCAAAGCAGAGAATCTACCTGAGTTTCTGACTGACAGAAACTGAGTTAATAAATGAGTGTTATTTTAAATTGCTAAATTTGTGGTAATTTGTTGTGCAACAATAAAAAACTAATACATGATTCTTCTGCCTTTTCAGAGAAATAGAAAAAAAAAAAAAAACCACATCCATAGTGAAACAAGCTGGCAAGTAGCAGCCTCACATTTTCTGAAATCAGTGGCTAAACCAATGAGGCCCATCACCCTTTGCTTGGACCGTTTGCTCATAATATGACATTAATCCATAATGGAGAAAGCTATTCAGCAGAACCGCTCATGGGCACAGAGCTATCTGCAAACCTATCAGGACTGGAGGTCAAGTGCTCCTGCTCCCACTGGTGGGATCCTCTAGGGAGCAGGGGAATGGCATGGTCTGGCTTACTCATGTTTTTGCTGAGCAAAACTCTCAGCTCTGAGCTGTTACTTCATCGGGATAGGCAGCAAAATGGTTGAGAATACAAAAAAATCTGAGCCAGCTGCCACATGTGATGGCCAGACGAGGACGGCGCCACTCCTGAGAGGGCACAGGGCTGGGCAAAGGCAATATTATGTGGCATCCTGGCAGTGGTCCCAGGAGCACGTGCCAGAGCCCTAGACACACACCATACGAAGCAATAAAGAAATTTGTGCAGCATCTGCACAAGGCTGACCTGTAAGGGATGTGCCTAAGCCCTGTGAGAACAAACTGACCAGTGAACTCTCTCCGTAGAGGTACCTGTTAGCTCTGGTGCGTGGGGATGGCTGGGGAAGCGGCATGCAGAGCAAGCTCCCAGCAGACCAGGCACTGGCATTACTATGGGGGAAGAAAGCTCAGGCCTCCCTGGGCAAGGGGCCCAGCTGCCCTCGGTAAGAGCTGATTCTACCAGGATTCACTTGGCCCAACGCCCACCCCTACCCTCACCCCTTGTCTGCTCTCAGGCTGCCTTCGTCTGAGAATGAGTCAGGGAATTGGGTAGGGAGGGAGGCAGTGGTGGGGTGAAACACCAGCCTTTCCTTATGTTCTTGGGTAACTTCCACATATAACAGGGAAGAAATACTCCTCTGTGGGAACCCGCCTCCCAAGTGCTTTCCACATGGGAATTGAGGGTACAGTGAGGGCCTCTCCCTTCAGCTCTGAAGCTTCGGCCTGACTCCACGTTGTGCATCTTCTGCTGGGGCCACGGCCTAGTACAAGAGCGTGCCTCCTGGAGAGACTGAGAGGGAAGCAGGGAGGGAGTAGCAAAGGCCCCCCGCTGTCCAGTGGCTGTCCCCGCTGGGTGTCCCCCAGAGGGAGATTTTAGGAACTGGCGGTGTGAGGGCCAAGTTTCAGGCACTGGCAGTCCTCAGAGAATGCCAAAGATCACATAACAGTGAGGCCACGTGCCCAAGAACGGCGTGTCATAGACTTTTCCTTAAAAGCAAAAATTGGGCTGGGTGCAGGAAAGAGGGAACATGTCTTTCAGAACTCCCTTTGGTGCTGAAGGAATTTTTAGGGTAATTTCTTTTTCATCTGATAATAGAGTATTTAGCAAAGAGATACAAAACCCCATTAGTTTTACAAGCACAGCAAAACCAGAGTTTAGCAATGGCAGTGTCATCCATTTGGTTGACAGAAAGCGTATGTTTCTGCACACATTTACTTCAGAATAGCCACATCAAAACGGAAATGTGTTTCCAACAGCCTAGCATGTGGCAGGCATTTCTGTTTTAATTAGTGAGCATATGGTGAAAGCTGGCGATGGTGCCTCCTCACGGCTCTATCACTGACGGGGAGTGGGGTTGCGTGGCTGCCATAAGCTTGTGTCTACTCACCACCCCCAGAGGAGACTGGGCAGGTGAAGTAGTGAGAGCCTCGATTTGATGGGTGCTTCTATTCAGCCCTAAAGACATATGTCTACTCCACTGCTGTGCTTCATTCCACTTAATATACAGAACTCTGCACAAGCCACCATGCTGGCCCCCTGATTAATCAGTGGCTGACAGGACAGGGGTGGTAATGGAAAGCCACACAGTCCCAAGAATAAATAGTGCAACTGCATCCCAATATGTTAGGTACTAAGTTCATGGAGAAGCCCTGGTGGCGAAGTGGTTAAGAGCTCAGCGACTAATCAAAAAAGTCAGTAGTTCAAATCTACCAGCTGCTCCTGGGAAACCTTATGGGGCAATCCTACTCTGTCCTATAGAGTTGCTATGAGTCGGAAGTGACTTGATGGCGATAGGTTTTTGGGTAATTTCATGGAGTCAATCATTGAAACCTGTGATTCAAAACACTAGGGTGGTATCTTTCTTCCATTACTGCTGGGGAGGTAGTCATCTCCAGAGCCATCCCCTGACCAAAACACATGACTCAGGGTCAACAAGGTCTGACTACACGGCTACCACCAATGACTGCCCTGACAGGGAACACAGCAGAGAGTCCCGGATGGAGTAGGGGAAAGATGGCGTACAGAACTCAAATTCTGGTAAGAAGACCAGACTTAATGGTCTGATTGGGACTGGAGGAACCCCGGAGAGCATGGCCCCTGGATTCTCTATCAGCCCAGAACTAAAACAGTTCCCGAGGCCAACTCTTCAGACAGGGATTGGACTGGACCGTGGGACATAGAGTGATACTCGTGAGGAGTGTGCCTCTTAGCTCAAGTAGATACAAGAGACTAAATGGGCAGCTTCTGCCCGAAGGTGAGATGGGAAGGTAGAGAGGGTTGGGAGCTGGTTGAATGGACATGGGGAACCAGGGCTGGAAAGGAGGATTGTGCTGTCACAGTATGGGGAGAGCAACTGGGGTCACATAACAACGTATGCATGAATTTTTGTATGGGAGACTAACTTGAAATATAAACTTCATTTAAATTACAACAATAAAAAATTTTTTTTAAAAAAGCAATCATAATAAAAACTAAAAAAAAAACCAAGAAACAAGGTCTGACTACAAACGTGTGGCATGTGATGCTGTCCTAATGATAAACAAACCAAATAACATTCATACATATTCAAATCAAGCAAATCAACAAGAGGCTGAGAGCAAAGGCAATAAATGAAAGCAAACATGCTTATTCCTGACACAGGCAACACGTGGGTCATCAGCATAGTGCACAGCCTGCTTTCAGAGAATACTCCACTTGACCGGGGACACAGGACATAAACAAGACCCGCCAAGAGGGGTCACAACGGTATGTGGTTGGTACCCAAGTGAAGGTGCTGGATATCAAGTGACAGGGAGTTATAGAGGGAGGAGCCAGGGCCCACTGTAGAGGCATTCTCTAGCTGTATTAATGAAATACAGGAATGACAAGGGCAAAAGTTCCCTGAGGGCCAAGACCTCTCCTTCCTCTCACGTCAGAGAGCCCTCAGCATGGTCCTGGGGTCACAAAGTTCTGGTCGATACTCAGGAAGCACCGAGGATGGCCCTGAGACTCCACACTGAATTCCAGAACATTTCTTCTCCCATTTCCCATACTCTTACACCAAGACTTCCCCCACCAATACCCTCCCTACATATATACATATATACACACACACACATAATCATTCCTTAAGAGTCACTGTCCCTAAGCCAGGCCTGCTACCCTACGAGCAGATATGGGAAAAAAGTATCATCTACCCTCACTCAGTTCCCAGGAAACAGGAGGGACCATATAAGTCCACAGGGAAAGTCCTAAAGGGAGCTACGATATTTGTCAACACCTAGGGGTGAAAAGAGTGTTTACAGCTTCCCACTTGCTAGTCCCAGTATTTAATGAGCCCTTCTACAGCCCAATAATGGTGTCGGCATGAGAGACAGTGACACAGACCAACGCATCACAGAAGTTGCAGAGAAGCAACGAGAAGGGGCCCTAAACATCCTAAAACATGGCCTCCGCATGGTAAATGAGGGTGAGCCCTACTACCAATGGACATAGCGAAATCCCAGCCCCTGAGCCTCCCACCTGGCAAAACTTTAAAAAAAATATTTATAAATGCAGTGGATGTTCTATGATCAAAAACAAGATCCTGGGAGAGTCTGGCAAGAGTCCTCAGCAAGGCCTGGTAGGTGACACAGTGACATTTAAGCACAGTCTCCAAAGATGCAAAGGAGTTAAAAGGGGGGAAAGCGGCCATGAGAATGTTCTGGGCAGAGGGGAGGGCGTGGGCAGAGAGCTGGGGCACACAGCGGGCAGGAGGGGCTGAAAGAAGCCCTGCGTGGCTGGAGCTCAGAGAGCAGGGGAGGCTGGAAGGTCACCAGGGCCCGGGCCGAGGGCCTTGTTAGCTGAGGTTAGGATCTGGAACTCTACCCTAAGGCAGTGGTGGCAGCTTCAGGCAGAGCTAGGCCCCACTTCAAGGAGAACTAGGCCCTATTTTACTTTGTCTTGCATCACAGGCAAGCCAGGCTTCCTGCTGGAAACAGCTTAGGTGTGCCTGCGAGCTATAGGATGAAGTGCCTAGCCAGCGTGGAATAAACAGT